GCCCCAGTCTCATGTTCCTCACTATAAAATGGAGATAGTAACACCCGCATCATCAGACTGACGAGGGTGGAGAACATGGACGCATAACACTCTCCATCCCTCCTTCTCAGAAGACAAATCCCACTGGAATATTTAAAGTTACCGCACAACTCATACAAGTCAACAAGTGGGGCTACATCAAAGAAAAAACCTCGGCACAGCAAAAAAACAACAACAAAAAACCATGGATGGCATGAAAAGGCAAGGTACAGAATGGGAGAGAGTCTGTACAAATCACTATCTGATGAGAGGTTAATTTCCTAGATACATAAAGAGCTCGCACAATTCAATATAAAAAACCAACAATCCAATTTAAAAAGGGACAGAGGAGCTAAACAGACACTTTTTCCAAAGAAGACATGCAAATGGCTAATGAGTACATGAACATATGCTCGAGATCATTAACAACCAGGAAAATGCAGATTACAAGTGCCCCAGAGTGCATCCCACACCTGCTAGCCCGGCTCTCATCAGAAAGGGAGGGGGAGGAAGAGGCAGGCGCCAGGAGGGGCTGGGGAAGGGAGCCTCGCACGGCGCAGCCTCTGTTCTTCCCAGCACAAGAAGTAGAACTAGCACAGTGGCCCAGAAATCCCACTTTCTGGGTCGCATCCAAAGGAAATGCTAGCAGGCTATGGGCGAGAGCTGTGCGCCGCAGCGCTCACTGCAGCCTCTTCCACAGCCGCCGCCAGGGAAAGGCCTACGCCCCTGAACACACGGGTGAGCACGGGAGCGGGGTGTGCATGCTCGTGGGGCGAAGCACGGCCGCGAGCGGGAGGGAGCCCCGCCGTGTTCAACACGGGGGACCTGGAGGCCTGTACGCCTGGGGAGCAAGTCCGACATGGAAGGACAGACACTGAGGGTATCCCTGATATGTGCAACCTTAAAAAGTCCAACACAGAAGCAGAGTAGACAAGTGGTTGCCAGGGGCTGAGGCGTGGGGGAAGTAGGGAGGTCGGGAGCAGGGTACAAACTTCAGCTACAAGACGAATGAGGCCGGAGGGGCTAACGTCAAGTACGGTGGCTGTGGTCGGTAACACTGCCGTAGAACCGGAATTTGCGAGCAAGTAGAACTAAGTGTCCTCACTGAGTAAATAAACACACGAGGCGATGGATGTGTGAATTAAACAGACGGGAAACCCCTTCTCAACGTACACACGTCTCATTACCATGAGGCGCACCTGAATATCTCACTGTTTTGTCAGTTACACCTCAATAAAGCTAAAAAACACACAAGCCACTTTTCATTTTTTATTCTCTGCCCCTCACCCCAGACATACCCCTGAGATGTAGAAGTTTCTGGGGCAGAGTTTGAACTTGTGAATAGCTGAATCCTAAGGTCTCTAAGGCATTTGCATGCTACACTTCTGCTTAATGCTGCTTGACATGAAATTTCCCCTACTGCACTGAAAAAGCAGAGTTAATGGCCCAATAAGCAAATGAAGACTATTAGAGAAAATGGGCTTGGGTACCATGAGAAGAGCAGGGAGTGCCTCTCTGAGGAGCTCAAGCCTCCATCCTTCGGTCACAGACCATGTTAGCCTGCTGGGCTTGGAGGATTGCTCTTCTTTAAAAGTACAGGTCATGCCCAGCCAGTGTGGCTCAGGTGTTGAGCATCGACCCACGAACCAAGAGGTCACTGGTTCTATTCGTGGTCAAGGCACATGCCAGGGTTGCGGGCTCAATCCCCAATAGGGGGCGTGCAGGAGGCAGCTGATGAATGATTCTCTCTTATCAATGTTTCTCTCTCTCTATGCCTCTCCTCTCTCTCGCAAATCAATAAAAACATATATTTTTTAAAAAGTACAGGTCGTATTCAATCTCTGGCAGAGGAAGCGAGACCACCTCTTATACAAGGGGAAATCAGTTACTAAGAACACACACAGGTTTCAAAAATTAGTCACCAGTAACCATGGTAATGCAAATATTACCTAACAGCTCACTGGGCTGTGAGTGACCAAGACGATGCTAAATACATTACTTTAAAAAATGGAAAATGGTCTCTAATTTTAGGAATACTTGCAAGGAGCCAGATGGACCTAATGGCAGACGGAAGGCAGCCAGGTCTGCCCCTGTGGACACAGGGTTCAAGGTCCTTCCCCTGACCAGCACGTGATCAGTTCTGTGTGACGCACACATGCAGCTGTGCCAGGAACAGCTGCAGGGAGAGGAGGTGTCAAGTCTTATTTACAAACAAAGGACTGCGATGAGGAAGATGAGTCCCCTCGCTCCCCAAACTCTTAACAGGAGACTAATCTTTGCTACTACTGCCCACTGAAGAGGGACAGATGGATGAGACTCAGGGGGCAGTCCCTTTTAAACTCAACATGAAGACTTTCGTCACACAGAACAAGATTTCCCAGAAAATGACTAGGATAACCAATAAAATAATTATTTTCCCATAATTTAAAATTTCTGAGTCTATATTAATTTTAATTAGAACAAAAGCATAAACACTATATGAATTTTAAAATTATTCCAAGCCCTGGCTGGTGTTGCTCAGTGGTTGAATGTCTGCCCATGCACCCAGAGGTCACAGATCAATTCCAGGTCAGGGCACATGCCCGGGTTGCAAGCTCGATCCCCAGTAGGGGGTGTGCAGGAGGCAGCCAGTAGATGATGTTTCTCTCTCTCTCTCTCTCCTCCTCTCTCTCTAAAATCAATAAAAACATATTAAAAATAAACAAAAATAAAAGTATTCCAAGAATCAGCCGCACACAAACACACTTCTAAGTCAAACTTCATGCGTGGCTTCTGTTGGCAGTGAATAGTGCCCGGTACACATAGAGCCCATCCCCTCAGAAGAGTGGACCAGAGCAGAGGGCCTCCAAGTGTCCTTGGATGGCCTGCACCCGAATTCCATGAGGGCTCTTTGAACGCAAAATCCTGGGCTGTATCCAAGGCCTGCTCAACTGAGTTGCTGGGGTTGGGGTCTAAAAATCTACACACTTAAAAGGTTCTCCCTGGGATGCCTGTGTTCTCTAGTCTGAGAATCCCATCCTTAGGAATCCCCAGTGAACTGCGCTCTCCTGACAATGGTGACAGAAGACATGAGAGCCACCAGGGGATACGAGCCGAGAGAGATTAATCAAAGGCAGGGCCATGTGTGACTTGGGGGCTTGTGGGCCACAGCCCAGGGTAAAAATCCAGCACAAATCCATGTACTATATGTGTGTGTAACACAAGTATGTATTTCACCAACTACCCCGGGGATATACTCCTACCTAGTCTATCTATTATATTCCAATTTTTAACACTGCCACAACCTACTAAATTGATTTCACTATCCACCAACTGTTGATGACTGAAAAACCCTACTATAACCTTTACTGTCCTATAATTTTATCACTTAATAACTTTTACACTTTTTCATATTATACCTCAAATAGTAGAAAGCCATCCAATCTTTTCCAATAATATCCCCAAAGTAACAATATTTTAGTTGCCTTTAGAAGGCGAACCAAGTTGAAATGATCTCCTTAAGGTTATCAGCAACAATGCACATCACTGCTACCAGGGAACTTCTCTTTATTTATTTCCTCTTTATCTCACAAAGCTGAGCGGGCCGATTATGCATCGGCTGTATGAAATAAATAAAAAATATTAAGAAAATGAAGCAAGGGGGAAACGAGGGCAGGGAGCTGAGTGTCTGTGGAATCACTGAAAGGAGTGAGGACCAGCAACCCGGGCAGCTCAGCACAGGCAGTCGGGCAACGAGGAAACACAGGCTTAGGAAGTCCCAGTGTCCACGGGGGGGAACAAGGCGGCTTCTGGGAGCGTGTCTAGGCCGCGGCTCTCCTCCCTCTGCCCTAGACTGACGCCCCCGCCCTCCACGCACACACCCTGCTCACAGTAGAGCCACCAGCACAGCGGGCAGGAGACCCCGTCGCTGCCTCCACCCCCACCTCCACCTGATTCCTGGGGAAACCCAGGGTTCCTCTAGGGACCACCGACTGGGGGGAGCAAAGCCTGGAGCTGAGGTCACTCCATTCTCCTCCCCGCCCGGAGCACTCCGTATCTACCGCCATCCCCAGGGTGAAAACCATTCACAGGGCTGTCTCCTCCCTCTCCACTAACCCCACCGGGTTATTTGTTCCCCAAGGACAATGTTGGCTCCCTTGCATTTCTGTGACTGCTCCACAAAGCCAAGCTGAATGCTCAACTCCTCCAGAAATCCCCCAAAGGAAAAGGGAGAGAAGCAAAAGACCTGGCCTTGCTCCTCGAGTCCCTGGTCACTACCCCACACGCTGGCTCAGCCTCTGTATGTCCGTGACTCGGTTTTTTGTCTGTCGAGCAAAGCGAGCACTGTGCGCACCACAGGCGAGTCCTGAGGAAGGAATTAACCGACAGGTGTGCACGCCTGGCCCACCTCCCTGGCCCTGCGGGTTCTGACCGCATGCTTGTTTCCCTTCTCCTACCCGGGGACTGGAAGACACTGATTTCCCCACTGCCAGAGCCACTGCAGGCTTCACCACTCCCTCCTTCTCTTCCAGGCTCCCCAAAGCATAATCATCACCCAGGAAGAAAGCAGGGCTCCCAAAGCCAGAAACGCTCGGTGCCTGAACAACGCCAGCTTTGACAAGACTTCTTGTCGTCGTTTCAGCAACTTGAAGAGGCCTTAGACATGGCTCTGGGGGGAGAAATGTCTGAGAAAGGGAGCTAGGCTGTCATTAAGTCCCATTAATGCTTCAACCAAGCAATGAGAGAGAGGATTAGTAAATTCACTGTTAGATGCAAGTGCAGTTGCTAAAACAGGACACGGAGGCCTATTTGGTCCCCACTCCTGCAAGGGCTAACTGCCGCCTTGTTAACACGGAAGTGGCAGGTCTTTGCTGTGTAGAAGCCACTCGTGAAGGGTCCACGTAAAATTTAGACCAGCATGTCTGGTGAGCAGAGGAAATGCCGGTCATGTTTTAACTCCCTTAGATGTTCAGTGTCCCGGGTTAAATCAGGGGCTGACCTACCTTTTCTGTGATGTAGAAGTTGGAGCTGTCAGCATGTTGCAGTGCGTAGTATTCATGGTTGGCAAGGGACCACCTGAAAATACAAGCATAAACTGGTCAGAACGACAGTAAACGGTCATTTTAATTTTTACGGTTTGAGAGAGACAGATTAATTAAACACCCTGTGCTTGGAATTGGGCCAGTGCTTCATATAACCCACAGTGTAGCTTCTAAATCAAAATTGGATTGGCCCACCTCTCACCCTAAGACCTGTTCTTTCTCATGTGGATCATCCAGGTCTCATTCTAAGCCTACTGCTCACCTGTAGGCATTTAATCTTCATGGCTTTGGGGCAAGGGTTGTATTTGAACATAAAGTTACCACCCTATTTTGAAGGAGTGGGGCAGAGAGGGGGAAACAAAGGACATGAATGCAACTTAAACTTTTGATAACTGTTACATTTCATTGGTCTCTGCATCCCCCAACCCCCAGTCACTATGCTAGCTGCAGATTGGAACATTCTAGTGAAGTATCCCAGGTCTTAAAGAAATTCCAGATAATCCTCTCATCACAGTTCTGATTTAAAAGTAAAAAACAACAATACATGCAACTTTGTGTGTGTTTCCTCTGACTCTGTGAGCAGCCAAAGAGAAGTAGGGGAGCCCTATCCTTGTGAGGTCCATGCGGCAACAGCGGACCCACTGACAACCCACTGACTTGTCTTTTAAATCATTTCATCTTCTATGGGGATCTGAGTGGTCCTCTCGATTTATACCAAATGAACTGTGTATTTACTCTCCGGAACTTCAGACTGCTCCCTGCTGGGAAGGGCGCGTGAACTCAACTTTTCACAATAAACAAAGCCCTCACCAGGTGCACACACCAGCCAGTTCACACCTCCTCTTGTTTGAGGAACAATGGTAACTTTCTTGGTGGAAAGGGGCTGCACATCTCACATAGAAATTTCCAGTGTCTTTGAGCAGCTCAGGGAGTGACTCATGAATGACGTCTGACAATCACAGGGGAATATTTTATCTGCCTCTCAAGTGGGCCTGGAGCCCCTTGGATGGGTCCTGAGTAGCGACACTTACCCATCACAGACTTCCTTTATTATCGCTGACAGCGGTTTTTTCTGCAAAATAGCAAAAAAGGAAATACTCTGTTAGTTTCATTTCATCATTTTACATTTTTTTTAAAAAAAGGAGAAGCAGAGGCCAGTGCCGATATCTAAGCAAGGAGACTTTCCATTTGCTATTCTTAGCTGTCCTCGACTAGTCCGTTGTTTTTCTGAAGGTAAATATCTATCAGCCATCACCGCCAAATACATCAGTGACTTATTACCCTGTTGGCACTTTTTCTACATTTAATATTATTAGTTGAACAAAATATACATCATCTATAACTCAGCCGCATTAAAATCAGGATGAAAACACAGCTTTGTTCAAAGATCTCCAAGGCCACGGAAGCCCACAAGGTCAAATGATAACAGAATCCCTCAGGAGCATGTAGGCCGGGCTACCAGCAGTCTGGTTGTACCCGAACAAGCTTGGACTCATGACATTTTTTATGAGAACATGTGGTGAAGGAAATAGAAGGTATTGTGAAATTTTCCCTACAGAGTACACAGAATTCTTTCCACAACCTTGGCACCAACAAATGCCAACCACGCAGCAACTTGAGCTGGGCACACTTGGAGACTGGGGCCATGACAGCATGTGCCCTGGTGTCAACTGGTGGCTGACTTCAGCTGTCCTCATTGCCTAACAGTCACAGCTGTGCCGTGCCCGCCTCCAGATAAGAGGGATGAGGCGGAGGGGCACATATGGCTCACCCGGAGATGTTGACACACTTTCTGTTTTGGATGCAAACAGACCCTCTCTGTCCCCTGGGGTGGATGGTAGTGTGTCAACCAAAAGAAGGAATTTCAGACCAAAAACAAATGGGGAAGAGAAATCAAAGAAACACACACATGGTCCAGGATTTTTAGATACCGTGAAAAAACACCTACATATAAATATGTTGTAGTCCTATCCCTCTGAAGGCCAAAGGGTGTGGGGAAAAGGCTTCTGAGCCAAGCAGGACCCATTCCAACCCTAGCTCATCAACTGGCCTGCAGCGGGACCTACAGTTTCCTTCATTTGCGGAACCTCAACTAGTTTATCTGTAAAATGGGCATAGGGCCTGCTCACTCCTTGGGGTTGTGAGAGAATCAAATTAAATTAAATTAAATTAAATTAGAATGAATACAAATGGTGAAAGGCATAGAAAGGTTAGGGTTCTGGCTTCCTTGGCCTCCCATGTCACTAGAAGACTTCCATTTCCTTCTCCCATCTTTGCCCTTGGACACAGTGCTTCCACATCTTCCCTCCTGGTGAATTCTTAACACTGCAGGCCTTTCTAAGGCCCTCTAGCCCCTGCTTAGAGCTCCAGCTCAGTCCTCAGTGCTCCCCAATGACTCCCTCCCACCGCAGGCCCAGCCTCTATGACTGAGTGTTCAAGACAAAGTCTGCCGGCAGCTATGAACATGGTGTGGGAGAGAGGGACCAGAACTGAGTGGAAAGACACGGGGTATTCTTGCCACCCTGAGTTGGCTTCCTTTACAGGAAGAGTAGAAATGGGGATTGGGCTCTACCATGCAGTTACACGACACAAAAGTCCAAGGCCTTTGCAAACATGTCAATTGTTTATGGATTTAGCTATAAGTTAAGGGGCAAACCAAATGACAAAAGAACGTTAGGAACAAAACTCTTCCTATAAGGCAAGGATTTTGCCCTTCCAGCTGCCAGAGACCTTTCTAGGTCATCAGTGTTCCATGAACACCTACGAGTCTCCATAATACATACACATCCTCCACACTTTCTCTTTATTTGTTGAAACGTCCCTCTCTTCTTTTGGTTCCATCTCTAACCATGGACTCTACCCACCATTAATATCCATGTCAAAGTCACCTCCTCTGAGCACATGTCCCTGATCTCCCCAAGTGCCTTCCTGTCCCCGGGAACACTGCATCTTAATGCAGCTCTGTAACCTTGTCCCTCGCTCGGTACTAGTTTCCACCTGTGCGCAGGTGCTGATGGAATCTAAGAGACTCGAAGCTCTTCTTTACATGGAAAACCCACACACTCACGAGCTTGCCTTTAATAGAGAAAGACAGGCTTGAATATAAAGCCAACTGTTTGGAAGGGTAGCCTGCATCCATCGGCACAGCACGTCCCGCGTCCTACCACGTCGGCCCCTGCTGGGTGGCTGGAAGCAGGTGCTGGCTGTAAACTGGTGGATGTGGGAGGGCTGTCACTACCACCCGCACGGGCCCCTCGCTGGGGAGGGCGCTGTGTGATTCACGGCCTGGGCAAGCACTGAGCGAGACAGCTGATGGAGAGAGGAATTCAACAGGTGATAAAACAGACACCAATCAAGTGACTGTCACCATCCCTTAGCAAGGCCCCACAGGTGACCAGCACAACTTTCATAAACTGGGACTAAACAGATGCCCAAACAGAAACACTGTTCTGTGCCATTGCCCACGCAAGTCCTCAGTGTGCCAGGAGCTCCGGGGCTGGCGAGTCCAAGCCTGACGCTGGCTCTGCCTCTGTTTCTCTTCCCATTTGCTCAGGTTGCATGAGATGCTTTTGTCTACCTGCCGGTTCTCCAAGACGCAGGAGGAGGGTGACAAGGTGACAAGGGCAACGCCTTGGTAGCCTTCTGTAGGCATGCTGAATAATTCACTTTTTGCCCATTGAAAGGGAAAGGGCCCAGGAGGAAAGAGATTTTGGCCTAAAAGGATGAAATCTGGGTTTTCTCCCTGTGACTCCATAAACCCTAAAGGAACTAAAAATAAAATTCTATCCTCTGCTTGACTACATTTAGATTTAGAATATTGAGGCAAAATTATTTTCACTGCCTGAGTATGTTTGCTTAACTTATAAAAATTGTAACTAAATTCCTTAAGCTTTTTGGTCTTATGGTTTGTTTTTGTGTTTATTTTTTTATTGAGTTTATTGGGGTGACACTGGTTAATAAAATTATATAGGTTTCAAGTGCAGAATTCTATGACACATCATCTGCATATTGTATCGTGTGCTCACCCCCCAAGTCAAGCCTCCTTCCCTCACCATTCATCCCCCTGTACCCTCTTCTACCTGCCCCACCCCCTTTCCCTTTGCTAATCACCTTACTGTTACCTATGAGGGTTCTTTGTGGGGGGTTTTCTGCTTAGTCCCTTCACCTTTTTCACCCTCCCCCCTCCCCTCTGACAGCTGTCAGTCTGTTTTCTGTATCTGCGAGTCTCTTTTGAAGGTCACGATGACCGTCTCGGACTCACAGCGAGCAGAGATGGGAAAAGCAGGAATGTTCCTGAAGGTAACCTGGAGGGAAGGCAGTTGTCAGATTGCTCCGTGCAGGGGATCGGGGTCTGTGCGCACGGTGGACCCAAAACACACTTTCTTCCCCATTTCCTTAGCAACACGGGAGAGCACGTCTTCACTTTATATTATTCTGGAAAAGTTCCAATGCCGGCAGGAGTATTTTCATTTGTCAAGCGAGGTGCGCATTCCTGCAGGACGGCTGGCGAAGCACCACGTGCCCAGGTACATTCGGGCCGCAGCTTTCTTTGTTGTTTGGGGGGTTATTCCCCCCTTTTTATCTTAACTCTTTCTCCAAAAGAATCCCTTTATTCAACTTAATTTACCACAGACAGTTCAGAAAACAAACATTTCCTGTACAGAAAGATGTGTTTATCTCCTTTACATAAAACCTGCAGATTCCTGAGAACGGCCAAGTTCTCCAGCAACTCACTTTTCGCCTGTGTCTCCGGCAATCCCTCTTCTCTCTAACCCTCGCAGTGGATGCTGGCCCTCTGCCTCCCTGCCCCCTCCCTCCCCC